TTTCAGGTGGTGTTTGCTCATGGTAAGAGAAAGGCCTGAGAGAAGCATAAAATCTATTCCAGACTGGCTTTGGTGCCTCATTGCTATATAGAGGATTCATCTTTCTAAACACAACCCATCCAAGATTAAGGCAATCACCATTCTAAAAAGGTTCAGGAGAAATCTACCTCCTTCACCTGAAATACTACATTTACTTCATGTAGGATCTTTTTGCAATGTTAAATATATTAAACTGTTTTTCTCTTTGCATTTCTTGTTGAGTAGCAAATTCAGAAATAAAAAATATTGTTATTAGGACAAGTAATTTTCTCGTGAGACTCGAGATCTGTTTGAAAAAAACGAGGTAAAAGTTGCTGGTACTTTCCCACTTTTCCCTCAACTTGCAAATGCCTGATAGGGATCTACCCAAAGGTTCATTTTCCTTCTTGCAGGGAGAGAACAGACCTGTGGTCATCCACAGCTTAGAATCCTCATTCTGATAGTTATTTGATGTCCAACTGTTGACCATTTTTGAGGCCACTTTTCTCAAGTTACAGGAAGTGTAGATTTTTACCTAGAACTAGGTGAGTATTAGTGTAAGGTCATGTGCTCTACTCTATAAGCTTAATGTCCTATTATCTTGGAATTGTTGTGGTTCTAATCAAAACAAAGGCATTTTGAAACTTGCTTTGATCATCAAAAATAAGTAATGAATTGAGATCCCTTTCTCACAATAATTTTGAGGTTCAAAGAAGGAACGTAGTTTGGTACCATAAACAAATTTGGGCTTAAACCAGTAAGACCTTGGTCCTTTGGGATATTTCCTTCCTTCCTGAGTGCATCGCTCGGAGTCCTCTCAGGCGTGAGACGCAAGCCATTGATGAAGCTCGTTTCCAGCAACTGACACTGGTGGGGATATTTATCATACACAGTGCAGCACAAGGCTTCCACACCGGCTGGGGCTTCTCCCTACACACAGGGAAGTTTGCTCCTGGGTTTAGTTCCAACACATCCAACCTGGGCTCTTACAGTCCTGATTATCACATCCAGAGTCCTAGAAAAAGCAATCTTTTTAAACTCCAGGCCACTGCAAGTAGTTTGGCATAAGGCTAAAAAGATATTTGTCAACGTAAGAAACTAAGCTGTGTATCTGAAACCCTCAAAGTGATCACCAAAAAAGTTCCCCAGGATTGCTGGTTTGTGGCTTTTTGTAATTAATAGCTAATAATAAGAAGGAAGCAAAACCTAAGAATAGATGTAGCAATCACTGAAGAACCATCAAGGCAAAGAAAGTAGATTTGGGGGTTGAAAGGCCAGCTCAGTCATATGATCACCCAAATGAAATTCTCAATTTAGAGAGCATTGCTCTTTCCTATCTGCAGTGTTTCATGACTTCAAGAATCCCAAATAGGATCAGCAGGAATGAGGGGACAAGGCAAGGGAGTAACATTTTTACTGAATTCTCCCCCCAGCCTTAGTGTTCTTCTTACAACATAACCACAAAATTCAGTGTGGCAATGATCACAAAATCCAGTCATCCAATTGGACGCTTTTTGCTACCCATCAACAAAGTCCCCTCCAAACCATTACTAAGAGTCCTGTAACTTCTCCACAGAAAACCTGCTAGCGTTACCATGCGAGTCCTGTGAAATGGGAGATTCTCATCCCAAACTGCAGTATTCTCTGAGACCAAACCCCCTAAGCTGCTCTGGGTACACCTCATAGCTCTCACCCCAAAGCTCTCTGTGCATCTGTGGCATGCTCTGGATTCAAGGTCTTGGCAGAGACCTTCACTCTGACAAAATCTTTTCTTTCCAATTGGCCCAGAGCTCTCTCACTTGGTATCTGTCCATTGTTACTCATTAAGAATTAATTACTCCCGATTCACTCTAACAAGTTTTAGTTTCCTAGTAAGGCTTGTCACACCTGACACTGTGGATAGAGATGCATACTCACTTTGAGGCTCTAAAATGAGCTTGACTCTTGCTTTAGCAAATTTAAGCCATATCAAATCCAGATGAAAACAATAGCTTTTACTACTCCACATCCCTTTAGGTCACCTGTTGTTAGCAAAATTGGCTAATAAGTGAAATATAATGCATATTTCATTTGGAAAAAAGGTGAAGAGGAACTAAAATATATTGTAGTATTTCTTCACCTTTTATGGTTGGACACAGATCTGTGGCTTGCCTTTAATTTCACAAGGCAGTGGCAACTGACTGTGGCAAAACTCAGAAATCCACTTGGCCTCCATTGCAGCATGATACCCATCAAAATACGTTATTTCCACTGAAGTACATTTCCCCTGAAATTTCTCAGCTGAAAAATGCACAGTGCTTATGGATATAGAACAATAAGAATTTGTATTTACTCAAAGAGATCAGTTAATATCACATCTAAAAACAGTATTAAAGATAGTACGTAGTCCGTCAGCTTTGTATTATTTGTAAAATGTCATTGCATTTTGAACACCTGCTGTGCTCCAGGTAATTTAGCACACTCCTCCCCAGTCCTCACAATGTCAGCAAGATAGGTTTTATTAGCATCATTTTTCAGATGAGAAAAATGAAAATCAGCATGTCACAGCAGTTTGTCCAGTGTCACACAGACCAAAAGGACCAAGGACAGAATTCAGACCAGTGTCTCCCAGGGCAGCCCCCTGCTTTCTCCAGGAGCCCACGTGCCTCTGTGGATAATTCTGGGGAATTCTGACGATCTGCTTTGTACTTGACCTTATCTGCTTGTGTGCTGTGGCCAGGCGGTAAGCGGGTTCAGGCTAACCCTGTCACTCCAGAGAGACAAGGTGGCATGACGTGAATGTTGGGGTGCATCCTCAGGGAAGATGCTGGTCCCCCTGACTAGACTGGACCCACGAGGTCACACCAGCCAGAGAGGGAAGCAAGACACACAACCTACACGAAGATCTTGGGCAAAGTGGGAGAAACAAATCCAAAATGATTTGCATTTGTTTCCCTGCTTTGCTAGAAACTAGCATCTTAGAAAACTTCACAACTATAATTAACTATTGTGTGTTTTCTGGCTTTGAAATGGCATAAAAACATTGAGAAGGAAGAGAAAAGCTCATTGTGAAGGCTTAGAAAGTAAAAAAGTAAGTAGTTTGATTTTCTTTTCATCTCATGTTAATTTATGCAGAAGCTAATAACATATTTGTGGGCTCAAAGCATTGAGTTGTAGAGAAGATTCCTCTCTCTTGGCCAGTTTTTCCTGTGATCTCAGCTTGACATAGCTGTCATTTCAAGGCTTGTGACATTTTTGCCAGAGAAAGGTGATAGGCTGATACATTCACTTCCTGTAGACATTATTAACTGCTAACCTCTGAAAACCAGTGGTGTTAAGTGTGCTGATCTTTGTCTGGCTTCTGCAAATGTAACCAAATGAACTGGCAAAGAGGAGGAGGAGGAAGAGGAAAAGGAGGAGGAGAAAGAAGAGGAGGAAGAAGAGGAGGAAGAGGAGGAGGAAGAAGAGGAGGAAGAGGAGGAGGAGGGGTCAAGGCTGGAGAGGAAATGGGATGTGTGTGCCTGGAGTCCTGCAGGAAGGGAGGAAACAATTGACTCTTGAGGGAGAAAAGCATCAGACAAAGGAAAGTCTCCATGAAAGAAACGTGGTTACTTTTACACCCAAGTAAGTTAGAATTAAACTGATATGTCTCTTAGAATGAAAAATGCAATTCCACTGCTGCCAAATCCCCTATAGAACGCGGGCAGCAGTGCTTGAAGAAATGCAGAATCTTCAGAAGTTGCTGTTTTAAATGAGACTCACCATGAATAAAGTAGTGACAGCTTAAAGGTCTAATTCATAAAAATGTTATTAAAGGACATTATTTATACCTGCTTTTTGTGAACTTCTACTCTTATTCACGACTCTCACAATGTATGGCTGTTATATGGACAGAATACATAATGGAAGCCTTAAGTCAGTGTGAACTGTGGCGAGAGTACTGTATCACCACAGTGAAACCCAACTATATTAAACTAAAGGGTAGAATTTATTGTGCAAGAGCTATCTTTGATAAAAATTGAAAAGCCTGTTTCTATCTTTTGTTTTCAGATATTTACTTTCACTCTTCTGTGTAAGATTAACAAATTGGTCCCAATTTTGAAATGCAATGTTTATTCGTCTACATTATGACAGAGATTTGGATGCTGAGTTGTGATCTTCTTGTGATTATGGCACTGATATTTAGCCTGGGTTTAGAAATATTTGTAATTAATCTGTAATTTGATGAACTGCCTTCTTGGTTCTTGACATCAGATGGCAATGTTTAAAAATACCTATTCAATTCCTGTGTCTATTTAGACAAGATGGAAAATTCCCTGCTACATAAAATTAGAATATAACGACACTTAAAAATATTTTTCCAGAATTTTAAAAATTATATGCATATCATAAATGCCTAAACTGTTATAAAAAGGCAAAGTGGATTTCAACTGGTTTGTTTTTAACTCTAGAATTAGAAAAAACTGACTTCCTGGCTTTCTACTTCTGACTAGAGGACCGCAGACACATTGAGACAAAGTGTGAATCTATGTCTCCTGCAATGCTAGATTGTCTCTGCAAGTTGTGAAAAGGGGCTCTTTATGAATTATACCTCTAACGCTGAAAGAAAGTGCTGTTTTTGATATTGTAGGTAGAAAGGCTCGATTCCTAAGGGAATGAATTAATTCCTATATTTAATCAGATGCAGTCATTAGTAGATAATTTAAGCATTCATTTTTAGAACTGCACATTGAATATCTTCAGCATAGTAACAGTCTTATCACGGTTCTGGGTAATGGAAATCTTTGAATACATCAGTGCCTAAAATGACAGACAAATAAAAATGTCAGAAAGAAAGACATCTCAAATATAGGGCAAATAATACTAATAACTAAAGGAAAAGATCAGTCAGCGTCCAGCATGAACCCCACTTCCTCCTGCTTCCAGGGCTAGAATCACTAATGTTCCATCTCGGTCACTCGTTTCACTCTGTCCAAGCACAATGCTGTTGCTATGTGAAATACCTGTGCTTTCCGCCAAGGTGCCCAAGGTGTCTGGCTGCTGTGTGATTAAGGCGAGGCCCCTCTTGAAGCTCCTGCTTTGTCCTTGAGGCCGGGCTTCTTCAAATTTCTGGAGTGGGGCTCCCACTTTGACTTTGAGGGTGCCACATGACCCGGCACACCGTGAGACCTAATACTAACCCCAAGTGCAAATATTAAGCATGCTCCTTGATACGGCCACTCAGAAAGGGCAGTGGAAGTTGTGTCCCCAGCACATTGCCAGACAAATGTCACCAGGCTACAGATGACTGTGGACAAGAAGCAGACTGGAAAAACATCAACCTCAAAATATGTTTTCATGCATTTATCTCATGAAACTGAATGTATGAAAACAAAAGCTAAGTCAGCTGACATGCAGTACCCTTCCCAAGAAATCCTACTTTATTCTCTGCATCAATAGCCTATATTAGGTACTAAACAAATAACTTCCTCAGACAGCTTGCTCTTGATCTGGGAACATTAGCAGTGTACGATTTTGCATTTTTACAGTGACCTGGGAGCAGTGCCAAGAGCCAGGTGAACATTATCCAGCTTTGAGGAAGGTACTGCCATTTTACAAACAGGGACAGCTCTGTTTCTGAAGATACAAACTCTTATTGAAAGTCGCAACACTGCCCAGAGGCTGAATCAGACTCACCAATCCTTCCTTCCAACCTGGACTTGCCTTTTGTATTAAAGTTTCCTAAAAAAAATATTTTACATTTCTTCTCTAGAGAAAGAAGATGAGAAAAAGAAAGAAGAAAAGAAAGTTACTTCTGAAGCACAAAAGAGAGGTAAAGAATTTAAAAGCCATTATAACACATGAACCAATGAGTATCCATCTTTTACACTACTGGCGAAGGCACTATTTTCTAGGGGAAATATTCTCCTAAAAGTCTTACTGTCATTATTGCCAGACAGCATTGGACTTTCTAAACATTCCAAGTAAAGTTGAATTTGAAGTTTGTAATTGTGACTGTCTGATAAAGTTTACTCCCTTAGGGATGGCTTCTCAATTTTCTTCAGGTCACCATCTCTCTTGACCACCTAAATAAATATAAAGATTACTATTTAATTAATTCAATTTAATAAGAAAGGCAAGTTATTTTATATATTAGAAGAAACTAGAGAGGGACTTGCTGTATCTGTTTTAGTTTTTAAACGGTTTGCTTTCACAGAGCAGACCTGATGTTCCTACTCAGAACTTCAAGGCTTCTACTGCACTTCTTGTGACTTGGGAGCTCTGGGGCATTCACTGTATTCCTTTTAATCTACTTTAGAAAGCTGACTGACTTCTACCACAATTCACGATGCCTTTTAATGTTTCCGCTTTTAGAGAATTTTTTTTCCCTTAGCAAAACTTTGTTGCTCTGGCCCGAAAGCTCACTGAGGTTGTGTATCTGTTCAGAAGGTGCAAGCCAGCTCATGCACGGTCTGCTTGGGACTCCTGTGTAGGTGCTGAATTAGATATCTTAGTGTCACCCTGAAATATGTAAGCATTCGAAGGCAGGGCTTATAATGTTCCTGTTTTACCAGCAGACAAAGAAGATGTTACAAAGAAAAGGGAGAAGGAAGCTGCTGCTGATATGAAAAGAAAAGGTACTGCACTCTATTTTCCTAGATTATGTTCAAGGTGTTTGCTTCATGAAAAATCACGATGTGTTGCACTGAAAGTGCATAGTTATGTAAATCCTCTAATGTGTAGACTGTCAAAGCAAAGAATAGAAACTAAAGCATTCAAGACTGGACAACAAAAAGGTATATGCAATGTTAAAGGAAGATACTATTCAGGATTCTTCCAGTCAGCTGGAGAGACCACAGCTCAGTTTGAACTCAAATCTACTGAAGCGAAAGGCAGGAAAGCGTCTCAGAGCTGGACTAGGGTATGATAGGTCCCACTTTGTTTGCATATTGTTCTTAATAGAAGGAAAATGTTTTCCCCCGCTTATCCAATAAGAAGATGGAATTTTACAAACCAGAGCAAGGGGGCTAACAAGGTTGGCTCCTCATCTCCACGAACAATGGGGAGAGCGGCGCTACCTTCTTGATGACTGTGTTTCAAAAGACACTCCTCAGACTTTGAAAAAGCCATTCTTGGTCTGCAAAACTGGAAATGGTTTTTGAAAAGATCTCAGAGGAGTAGAGAAGCAATTACAGCATCACAGGAATGCCAGAAGCATAGGGAGGGTCTGGGCCTAGGGGCAGGGGCAGTCTGACCGTGCCTCTGAGGGCACAGGCTGACCTGGTTAAGAAGGTGGAATCACAAGAGCTGCATGACCTAGCCACATGGCCTTCCAGAGATCAGAAGCAGAGAGAGAATGATGTACCCCATGACAGTGCTGGGGTATGCAACTCTTTAACAGCTAAGATTTTTTTTTTGGTTTAAATTTAGTCCTGTTTTTATTCTCATGCACACATGAATATTGACTTCTACAGTTGTACAGTTTTAAATCTACATGGAAACATTGTCATCTCCAATATTATAGTTTGGTAACAAATATTCCTGTCCTAAGAATTTTGCTCCAACCTGTCCATCCTCCAATTAGAGGCATTGCATTTCTTTCTGTTATGAAGGAATTGTCCTTCAAATACAGCTCTCCCAGGGCCTGTGTACAGAGGAAAAACTATTTACTGTCAGCTAACAACAACCTAAAATTTCTGAATCTTCTTTGTGGAACAGCAAACCGAAACTGATACCCCAGAAAATGAGTTCACTTTGATGACAGAGAGAGAGGTCAAAGACTATGTCAAGGTGGGCACTGCTGTGTCCACAGCAGTTGGGCATGGGAGAATTGGGTGTCAGTCTTTCCTTCCTGGGGAGGAATAGCTTTCCAGGGGTAAAGGTGCTGTTGACCCACACTAGAGAAGGGCCCCATGGTTGCCAAACTAACAATGCTTATTCTTAGTAGGTAGGAATAGGAATGACAGGCCTTTGTCAGTATCACAGTACGGATGAGGAAAACTTACAGAATACTAAGTGTTGCATGATTGTGTGGCTCCTAACATGAGCAGAAAGAGGCAGCCAGGTGTTCCGTAAGTCTGAGAGTTGATTACTAATTACTCACCTCTCATTTCTCTTATTAAAGGAGCATTATTGTAGAGTTTATTGTATTGTTGAATATTCATGAATCATTCTGAAGTTTTCTTTATTTTCCTGGTGAAAGATGAATTTATCAAAGGACTCTCTGTGATACTAAGAAACAGGTTGCTTTGGTCAGTGGGTCTGCAGCAGCTCTGGACTGCATGGGCACAGACCAGGTGTTCTTAGTTGGGCCATAGTGGGGTGAAAAGATTTGTAGGAGAAAACTTAAGCCATGATCCACAAAGCATCTGTCAGTGCGTGCCAGGACAAAACCAGGAGTGCTTCATTTTGATAAAATCAGGTGTGTGTGTTGTGAGTGAGTGTGTGTGTGTGTGTGTGTGTGTGTGTGTGTGTGTGTGTGTTGTGTAACTTGTTTTGTTTTGGTCTTAACCTTGTGGGGAAAGGCAGAACTTGTCTATGCCCAGCGAGGGGTGGGAAAGCTGGTGGAGAAGTGTCTGGAGAATCTGTGTGATACTGCAGCCCTCGACTCAGCATAAGGCTGGGCCCTGTGGCCAAGAGAGCCGACTGCCAGTGCCGCCAGCAGGGCTCAGCCACGGAGGCGGAGAGCAAGGTGGGTGTCACAAGGCAGGTGGAGGGAGGGTGGCTCCTCCTCCGGGCCTTTGTGAACACATGTATGCTTCCCAAAACCAGGTTTTGGTTTGCTGGCCTGACATTTTTGCTTTTGTTTACATAAAGCAGCATTGCTCCTCAAATCAGTTCAACTTCCTGATGGAAATCTGCATTATGCAATGATTTATAAAAGTCCTTAACTCTCAAATGCTCAAAGTTTGTATGCGTTTTTGTGAAGGAGATGAGAGAGAGAGAGAGAGAGAGAGAGAGAGAGAGAGAGAGAATAATTCTCTATATTTTCATATGACAGCAATATAGTTTAAAAATGCCCAGTCTGAAGTTTATTATGGGAGTAATAAAAATTGAGAGAGATAATGAGAGAAATTGAGTTTAATTTAAAATCTTAGGAAGCTTGAGAACATGTCTTTTCTTCTTAAAATAGTCAAAGAAATATGGAAAAGCACATAATATAAATGCATATGATATCATCACTGTGCCTCCAAATGGTAGGGAATTTACACAGCAGAACATATGCAGAGGAGCACATTTAATGCATGTTTGACTGTGATATATTATTATAATTACATTGATTTTTATATGATTGATAGGACTATATACTGCATAGATTTATTTATATTCTTACATTTAGAGTGCAGTGCAAAAAAAAAAAAAAAAACTAAGGCTCAGAGTCTATTCTCTACTAAAAGCCCATCACAGGATGAAACTAAGAAATCATACGAGCTAATAGTCTGTGTTAAGGAAAATGTGGACTTTTTGTATTATATGATACAAAATCATCAACCTATTGAGTACTAATAGATACAACAGTAATTGGTACATGAGTATTAATTATAATGTCTTGTTTAGTATATATTTGCAGTTATACATGTAAAACATCTGCTACTTACAAACACAGTGAGAAATTAGAAAATCATCAGGACATTTTTGTTGTAAGGTGCATTTCATGAAAAAAGCAACCTACCAACGAAATAAAAACTTAAGAAGTCTCCCTGTGTTTGTATTGGGTTTTAGTGCTAGATATAACATTCACTATAGTTAATACCAGGAGACTCTTCAGATAACTGGGTAGCTAGGAAACTGTTGGTAGGATGGGAAAACTGAAATCTAGGGTGTGTTACCAGGTTATTGAGCAAAGGTCAGGAAACATAACATTCATCAAAGCTGTCTCCTTAATACTCACGATAACCAGATACTAGAAAATGTGCGGGTGGGCCCCAGCAACTCCTGTCTTCATTTGTGGAGGCCCTTTGTGCTTGACAGTTTCATCAGGTGCATCTGACTCGCGGAACTGAGCGTCTCCACGACGAGCTCTACCTGCAAGGAGTCTGTGAGACGCAAGCCTTATGCATTCCCATGTTTCCACCTGGGAGGAGGGAGATGGGCGTTGAGTGAAGCTGCGCCTTCTATCTATAGCAGTCACACCTTAAGAAATATCTGAGAAGGGAAAGTTCACATGAGATGGCTTTTGAAGGCCTAAATTATTTGAGGACTAAACAAATGGGTGAGTTTCCCCCAAACTGAAACTCAGCAAACTCAGCAGCTAAAACACTTCTCGGTGCTCCCAAAGTGAAACTGTGATGGAACTTCTGTTGCTCTGTACTGGCCCGTAGGCGAAACTCATGGATGTATATTCTCTCTTCACTCCACGGAATGATGAGTGTTAAATAATTTTCTAAGCGCTTGATGTTGAGATTCCAGTTCCTTGAAAAGATCACTGTATTATTTTGCATTATAATGAAAGTATCATAACCCTGGCAAAAAATAGAGAGACACAGAAAAAACAAGACAACTTTCTGGTTTTCTATGTCTCTCCAGTTGCCTGCTTTTTTTGGAGCAGTGATAAACTTTTTTGGAACTAATTTCCCCATTCCCTATATGCTTATAAGAGTATTATTATGAACATAATTCTTGAAGTGCTGGGGATCAAACCAGGGACCTTGTATATATATTAGGCAAGTGCTCTACTACTGAATAGCATCCCAAGCCTTGGAAATAATTTTGCTATAATAACTGATTAATGATAACAGTATGAAATGATATTTAGGTATCACAGTTGCTATGTGATTTTTCCCCCAAAATCATCTGACTAGGAGACTAAAAAAAAAACGCCTTTTTTTCTGAAATAAATTATAAGAAAGGGACAAATTGATCAATTCACTCAGATGTACAGACATATTTTTTTTCTGAGACAAGGTCTTTCTATGTAGTCCATGGTCTTTCTATGTAGTTCAGCCTAGTTTAAACTCACAGCAGTCCTCCTGTTTCAGTCTCCTGTGTGCTGGGATCACAGGTAGGCACCATCACACCCGCCTTGTGTGTATACCTTCCTGCAGGAAATATGTACCAAGTTCTATTACTGCCAAATGTTCCCCTAAGTGCTGAGTGTACAAAGGAAGATAAATGGACACAGATTTACCATACTGAAGCTTACAGAGTGATGATGAAAACACAACGAAAGAGGAGGGAAAATGCCCCTAAGTATAGCTTGGGGCACAGAGGATGGAGGAAGCAAATTTGGTGCAATACTGAGAGATCATATTAGAGCAGACCCCTCCGAGAGAGAACATTTAAACAGATCTGACATCACGTACGGAACTGTCCACTGATGCACACAACTTTCTGACATGTGAACATGGTATACATGTATGATTCATGTATGTGTGCATTTCATGAGCAGTCAGAATACAAGTGCAGAGGACGCATTTCAAGCATTTGAATTTTTACTAAACATGTAATAGAAGATTATGGGCAGATGTTTTAAAGACAGTCCTCTCTATAGATCATATTTGGCCCCAGAAATAACTGTGATTGCCTGGGGATACAAGTCAAGAGAAAGAGTAGAATCCACAGTCAGGCCAGGAGAACGCCAACATCTGGGAGAATCAAGAACGCTCAGGCAGAATCGAGAAACTGAAAAGCATGGCAAAATAATTTTTTTAAAGCAAAGGTGCATGGTAATCCAGGTATTTCAGAAATGGATATATCAAGAACAAAAAGTCCTGCACCTTGCAGATGGTACCTGGAAGCTATGACATGAGTGTGGGAGAGAAAGGCCATCATCAGTGGAGTGCATAAGAAAAGCAGCTTGGAACAGAGGTGCCAAACATGGGGAAACCTGGAGAAGCTGGAAGGGGTGACTGTGGCTATAGTGGGAGCAAAGGACCTTGTGTCCAGTTTCACTCTGGGGCATCCACCGAGAGCCTGGTGGACATGAACCACATGAGAGAGACAGCAGCACGCACAGGCAGAAATCTCAGGGGTGAGGTTTGAGAATTCATTGTTGGATGGGCACAGGGGAGGAATGTGTCTTATCTGGGAGAAAATAATGTCCCAGATGCTCCGGGACTAAAGTGTGTATGTTTTCAGTATGGAAAAACCATGGACACAGATTCCTTGTAAAGAAAAGGCAGGGTTAGAACACTAACCCTGGTCCTGGTTAGAACACTAAAACTCTACTCACAACGGTGATTGGATCTGAAAGTTTCAACTCTGGGAAAATATGTCCCCAAACTGTGCTTGGTGCTCGCTGGGGCAAGATGCTGCTGTTACTGGCGCTATCTTCAGGGATCACTTCTTCAGGGACAGTGCCCTGCTGCAACTGTGGGCTGCAATGTCATTGTGATGTTGAACTCCTCAGGTGAAATCACTTCAGGGCAGAGCTCATTCAGTTTATGCTATTTCAAGTTGATACATTTATGTCTATTTTCACAGAATATTTTCAGTTACTGCATCTGGCAAATAATTCTGAATTCTGCATGAACTAAAACTTTCAGTGACTTGATTTTGCTCTGTAAATTTTTCATTTGTCCTTGAGAAATGGCAAATTGTTCTTTACAGGAGGTTATCACTTTAAACATATTAAGTTTTATTTCTCCTGACATTATGATATCATTTATTTTGCTTAGAGTTTATGGAAAATTTTGTTCAAATTATAGCAGCTCAAAAGTTTTTATATTTATATGTAATTATATTTATATGTAAAATTTAAATATTTACATGTACATATATAACCAGTTCATATGATAAATGATATTGATATGTGATCATATTATGTTTATTTAAAAAAGCACCCTTCTATGTGCCTGCCTTGTATTTTGAAAAGAGATTATTATAGTTTTTTCTGATCAAACCATCTGCTTTTCTCTGAAAAGCATTTGGTTTTTGAAAATCATCTTATGTTTATGTGTTTTGCAAATATATATTTAGGCAAGATTGACAAATAGAGTAGGATTATTGGTTACAGACACTGAAACCTAGGAAAAAATCTTTTCCAGGATGTCTCATAGTAACGTGCTGGCTAGATTTACGTAATTCACATACTTTTGAGTGATATTGTGGAAATTATGTTTATGGACACTGTAGACAAAATTCTTTAAAACTTTGTTCAGACAGGCAAACAATTGGAAACAGTACAGATGAGACCTAATCTTATTATTGTCTTTCAGTCTTGATTTAATGGGATTCCTAAGTGATGTGGCCATAGTGGGCTCCCCAGGTGACTTTCTGTTCCGGGAACATCACCTTGCGAGCCTGCTTCGGTGCTGGCCCCCGACTGCATTAAACACATTCACCATACCTGAATGAATCAAAGGAAAAACATATTTTAAAGCATTTTTTAATCATGGCAATGATGTGATATAATAGTTCTTTACTGACTTGAAGTAAGAAATTTGGTAACAGAGCGCTGCAGAAGTCTTTTGACTTACAACTTAAAATATCTTTGAATATCTCTGATGTTACTTTATCACTATAAATGAGATAGAAAACAGTATGAAATGTTCAAGATGACACAAGGCACCTTTTAAGTCAGTAAATTACAAAAGTTGAGGTGTTCAAGCAGTAGAAGCGTGGCCATCTCTTCCCCATGCAGGCAGGTCAGCTGCATGGAAGATCATATTAAATGCAAGAAGGCTCATAAAACTGTATTTTTCCAAAGTGAGTCTGCCTGAATGAAATGGATATCTGTCTTATTAACCTTTGATACTACTTTTTATATCCTTATTATCCATGTCTTAAATGTAGCCACTTGTCTAATCTTCTTGAAGGTTAATCTTTTAATGAAAATCATAGTCAAGAGTTAATTCCAGGAAACGGGGCCATAGCAAAAATGCACTGACTAGAACCTGAATCCAGGAGGTTTTCTTGTGTCCTCCAACATAAGTCATTATTCTGGATAGGAGCAGAACATGGCATATTGACCCCTGCTTCAACCAAGGATGTGGAAAATATCATGGGTTATAGGTCTTGAAGCGTGATTAACTGAGGGCCGGGGATTTAGCTCAGCAATGCAAGAGCCTTCCTGGCAAGTGTGAGGCTGTGAGTTTGATCCCTGATAACTAACTGAATAAATAAATTTAAAAAATGCTCAACTGTGTCAGGGCTAAGAAATGCCTTGAGACCTCTCAAGAGCAAAATTTCAATAGCCCTAAGTTTAAGGTAGAAAGAATAGGTTAGTAATTATTTATGATGCAAGAAGACCAGAAAAAACCTTCAGATGATAAATGTTTCTTGGAAGGAAAATAATTATAATTAATTTTCAGGAAGTTTATCTAAGTAATTGAAGAAGGCTTGCTTCTGTAATTAAAAGCACACTTTTTCCCTCAAAAGATAGTCTGTGTCAATAAATATGGACATATTAGATTGATCACTATCCATATCTGGTTAACAACATTAACCTGAGAAATTTTGTTTTTGTTTTTTCTGGGTTTTTTTTAGGGGGCAGGGGGCTCAAACTCACAACTTTGCACTTGCCAGGCATGTGATTATGCCGCTGAGCTAAATCCCCAGCCCTTAGCCTTAGGATTAAAGTCAAAGTTATGAACAGGCAAAAAGCTAATGCGAACTACATCAGAAGGAGAAATGTAAAATACTTGTCCTGGAAGACTGTGCTGATACCGAAGTGGCTGTGGAGCCAAGTCATGAAAATCAGAGAATTAAAAAGAAAAACAGGTACCCAGTGGCACTGGACTGGAAAGCCATCTATCAGTAGAATGTGGTGAACTTCTGGGGTCCCCTCCTTTCTAAGACTTTCACATGCCCCCAGGTCCCCTGGGAGGGACTGACAGGCCTCTGTGAGGTCCCTGCTGAGGAGGTTTTAGAGATGACGCTCCCTGGCGACTCTGTAACATTTTAGCAGTGGAATCTGGAGTCCACTCCTCCTTTGCTGATGCTTCTAGACTCTTCTGTTCTCTTTCCTAGTCTCTGTCACCTTTTGAAAGAAATGTTCTTCCTATTTACTGAAGCAAGCAAAATGAAAAGTGTCTCCGTGAAGCCTGCTAACAGTGGTCATCTGCTTGCACGCTTTTTCCTTGGCTGACCATAGCTTAGTCACCAGCAGTGCTCCAGTTTTAGGTAAACCTTCTCCACTGTGCATAACACCGCGACTGGCGAGCAGGGAGTGTCACCCCACCCCTCTTTTTCCTCTGCAAATACAGTGTGACTTCTACTGGTCATTCCCAGCAGTGGTGTCCAGCTGTTGCCCGCACACCTTTCCCAGGTCACTGCCTGCTTCTCAGACCCCTGGACAGCTCCAGTCTTCTTGTTGTCTACACCTTCCCTTTGCTTTCTGCATGTCTGTGTTTAGTGTTCAGGCTCCCACCTGCGACACTGTCTTCACCAGTTCCCATATTATCACATGGAATGTGAATTCTTTGTTCCCAAGATCACTTACAGCCAAAGTTGGCTTCTGCCTCAGTCTGTGGACTTTGTGTGTCCTGTCAGCCTCTGAAGTTCCTCCTTGTCGGTCTCCGGTTCCTGATTCCTTCCCTTTCTTTCTGGGATCTGAAATTAGAAGCACACTCATGCTTGATTCCAGGCCCCCGCTCCTTCTCCATTCTCACTTTCCTGGTGACTATAGGCCACAGTCACCATGGTTACCATGATCTTAGTATCATCGTTAGGACAGTGACTAATAAATATTTGTTTCCAGCTCTGATCTGCACTGTCATACAGAGGGAGATCAGAATACACAGTGAATGCTTTACTTCAAAACGTTACAGTAACAAATACATTCTCATTGCTTCCCCTCAAAACCGTGCTCTTTGTTCTGAACCCAGACAATGCATCATGCTTGCCACTGTTTGGAGCAGTGCTGGGCGTCCCCCTCTGCGAGTCATTTCTATAATGTGTGATAGGAAATCCAGCGAAGGCCCATGCCAAGTGCCATCTAATGGAAAGGGAGTCCACAAAGGCATTGTGCCACATCCTCGTTCACCTGGTTACCAGGTCTGGCACCGTGGGAGGCCTAGATCACCTCCAAAGTCAAGATGATCACAAAAGGCAAATGTTTGGAGTCAGCTGAGGACATCACGATGGAGCATGCATGAGAAAGGACTTCCAGGACTGCTGCAGAGGCTGGCAGGAAGGAGGGGACAGTGTGTTTGAAGTGAATTGGAGTATTTTGAGGGGAATTAATGGCAGTGCGTCTTCCACTGTCATTTTTAAATTTAAAATGTAAGCATTCACCATATTTTAAAGCATACCTCACATATCAAATTAGTTATTCACCATCTTCATTTACACACCTATTATACACCTCAAAATTAACAATACCCCTAAGGCTCCTCAGATCTTCTTTCTCTGTCTCTCTGTCCCTCTGTCTGTGGCTCTGCCTCTGTCTCTCTCTCCCCCTCTGCCTCTACCCTCCCCACTCCGCTGAGTGGATCACAAATCCTCAGCTCTTTTCTGTTCAACAGTAAATTTCCACAGCTGTTTTTCTTTCGCCTTACACTTATGTGTCTCAAGTCTACAGATATTTTCCTTCCTGAATCTTATTAAAACATGTCTCCTTCACCTTTGAAATACACGGGGTTACCGTCCCTTTTCACTGTGTTTAAGAAGCATCCCAGCTTGGACACCATCATTTCTGGCTCTTAGGCAAGGTCATTCTGTAACAAATACAAAATCCTGCACATTTCAGCAGCTTTCAAAATGAGCAAGTCTATTTCTTATCCGTGGCCTGCTTATTGTAGCTGATCCAGAGCCCAGACTGAGGGACGGTCACCTGCCTGTGCCGCCACCATTGCTCCACTCCATTCATAGCGAATTCCAAATTTTCAAAGTGATCTAAAGGGCTAGTCATGAGGTAATGGCTATAGATCACACCATACAGCTTTTCTCTTACAGCACAGCCATTAACTAAACTCTAATCACACACCCTTGCCATTTCTAATCATTTGTCATTGGAACAAGTTGCCTCCATTTCTAACCAAACCTGCAGCCTCAGCCTTCAGAGTTCACAAGTATGTGCAAATTTTAATTTGCAGTTTCACTTGAGTTCTAGCTACACTCAGGTTTTGTCAAAATGACAGGTACAATCAGTGCATGAAGTCTTTAGCAAGCCATTCTTTATAAACCACAGCCAGGAAGATAATTAATTCTGGAATTACCATTTGCTTGTTTTTAGAGAGACTGTATCATATAATGCATATGAGAAAAGCCATGAATCCAATTTTGTCATAAAATGGTCTTTATGGAAGGACTCAGCCTTGGCGAGCAGGCACAAAGGTGTGAACGTCAGCACGGAGAGAAGTAGAGCAGAATAACCAATTAGTAACAGGAAAGGAGAGCTGGGCAGGAAGGAGTTAAGGATGGCAGGTTGTGAGACAGTTTCTGTGCAGTTTGATGCATTGAAGGTACTGGAAATCCAGACAGGCAACGTTAAAATCTTACATAGCCTCGCTGAAAGGAAAGCTAATGAGCAAACACCAATGACCAATGGATCATTGCAAAATTGACACTGGGCAGGTGTCATTCTTCCCTGTGGAACTTCTGTTTCTTTTTATCCTGCTCATTTGGTGAGGGGCTCTGCCCCCCGAGCTCTGGTGAGGTGAATTAAATGAGGTTTGAATGATCATCTTACTCCACCTGCCCTTCCCTAGGAGCATGATTGCAGGACCGCAGGTCAGGCTGCAGTTCTGACTGGCAGACACGTTAGAAAGGACAAAAGGAAGATGGTCCCTTTCCTTAGGAGTAAGATCACACCAGTCTGAGAAATGCTGTTTTTCACTTTTATCCCCTTATTGTGACAGTCTGTCTTGAAAATAATGCTGACACGGAGAACAGGAAAGTGTAGATTTCAACGATATTTTAAGCCTAACATTCAGGTATCCCTGGAAACTCCAGCCCCTGGCTTCATGCCAGAATATTACATGATTTAACCAACTCATTCATTTGTCTGTTAGTTTTCATTTGAAAGTTTGAGTATCCAACTTAACTGCTCACTACATAATAAACCTTATAAAGTCATAGAACTCTTATAGCAGCTTGAAAACTATTAAATAAATTTTATATCCAAAACCCTATGTTTGATGGATCTCTACTTGCTGTCCAATTGCTTATGGGGGGCTATCATCCCCCTCCATACTTGTTCATAGATACTTACTCTTCTCTTCGGTTGCCTGCTTTAGAGAGTGAACAATGCTATTTTTCTTTAAACAGATATAGGAAGCAGATATGTCAGGACAGGATTTCCTTGCCAGAAAACATGTTAACATAATTCTAAACATTTAAAAGCTAAAAGCAGAGAGCAGTCTCATTTGTCTTATTTCACAAGTCGAACAGGAACCAAAATCCAGCCATTCTCCTGATTTTCTTCTCGGTTCAAATGTGCCTTCATTTTTAATTTCTGATGTGAAAAGGTGGCATTTTACAGTGGGAGTATAAAATTAACTACTTATTTATTTCTTCATACTATTAATACACAGTGAGACAGCCCTAGACATGAAACATGGTGTCTCACATTGCTGTTGTATTTATTACCTTTGCTGGTAACTGTAGCTAGAAAGAAAAAGAAACCACTGTCCCTTATGTGCTCTGAGTAGCCCATAATTTACATCTGTTGTCCAGATCGACTCTGTCTGCTCACAGCAGGACAGGCCAATTAAGTTGAAGGACAAGGTGTTGGGCCAAGGAAGGCAAATTTATTTGAAAGGCTAGCTGATGGAGAGGAGGAGGACCGCTGTCTAAACTCTACCTCGCAGGGTGCAGATTCAGGAATGGCTCCTGTAGCCAGGTAGTAGGTGTTTTCAGGTGGTAGGAGCCTTTTCTCTATGTCTGAAGGTTCTAAATTTGTGGCCAGATGACCCATATCAGGTCTCAATTGCCTGATCACAAGATGTTTTTCAGTTCTGCAAGTTTCAAGCAAAGTCGCAGGGTTGTTGTCCTTCTTTAGTTTCCTGATGGATTTGCCTGTGTGGGGTCCTGATATATTACTGTGAGTGGGGCAGCAGCGGTAGCTGCCCAGAGAAGCGAGGCCAGGGTCAGGTGAAGTTAACTTTGAAGTCCTCACTGCTTCGCTCCACTGCTGCATGATTTGCTAGTTTCTCCTCACAGTCCTTGAATATGCATAACCCTCCTATTCTAACCCGTATCTGTTGCAGATCTGGGATGTTTTAAACCTATGACCACTGCCCTGATTGAGACAAACAAAGAATAAATGCAGGGACTGGTGATCTAGAATGTAGCTCCAACCCACAAATACTGCATACATCCAACACTTCTTTTTAACCTTGTAACATAAAGTTGTACACTTTCAGTCAACTATTTTGTCCTCAGTTATTCCTTGTACAAATTGTAATAGTGACGTCATTCAATTGCTGAAAGGTATTTGAACTTTCCACTAGTTTGGGGGAACATTTCAGGTATTTGACTGATTAGATGAATTAATTTCAAATTAGTTGGTGTATAAAAAACTAACAGATATCTGGGGAAATATTCAATATTATTAGGTGTCTTGGTTACTTTTTACTCCTTGCTGAGACAAAATACCTGATGCCCAAGTTGGGAAAGGAAAGGTTTATTTCTTACAGTTTTTGGAGGTTTCAGTCCACACTTAGTTGGCTCCCAGGCAGGCGGGCATGGCAGGGCCGCAGTTCATGGTGGCTGCAAACAGCAAAGTGGAACTGGCAAAGAATAAGACACACCTTCTTCCTGCCATTACATCACATCCTAGCTGCACCCCTTTGTGGGTGGAGCACTGACACCATCAATCCAAGCACTATACAATGAATGAATAACAAATGCACAATTCAAACTCATGAGGCCTGGGGGACACAGACATAAACCATGACATTAGGTATTGGGAAATGCAAATGAAAACTACAATGAGACACCACCTGGCTCCAATGGAAGTAACTAAATAGCAATTACAACAATGACAAAATAGCAAATGTTACTTAGGCTGTGGATAGAGGGGAATTCTGCCATACCGTTAGCGAGAATCTAAATTAGTATAGCAATTATGGATAGCGGTATGGCGGGTTTTCAGAAACAGAAACAGAATTATGAAGCAATGTTTTCCTCCTCCACTGTATACACAACCAAAGAAGGTGAAAGTGCCATGCTGAGAGATGCACACACTCCTCGTCACAGTATTGCCACAATAGCCAGCGTAGGAAGTGCCCTAAATGTGTACCCATTAAGAAATGGATGAAGACAATGTCTTACATGTACACACAGGAATACTACTCGCCAGTAAGCTGAGCACGGAATCCTGTCATTGCTAAATCATAGGTGAATGCAGAGGACACTGAGTCCGAGAAAGAAAGTCACACACAGAAAGACAAACAGCACCTTCAGTGCCAAGTAGAGTCCCGTCATATTGGGCAGGAGGGAAAGATGGGAAGACAGATTCTTTTTTGGTGGAGAAAGTGCTCTGGTGTTCTGTGACACAATGTGGTACATATAATTAAAAATAATGTAGCTCAAAATCATTAGAAAAGAGTATTTCAAATGTAACAAACCATAAAGAAGTATTAAATGTTTAAGGCGATAGATAGGCTGGTTACCAGAAATGATATCTACTTAGTGAAAACATTACAGACATTATGTCTGACAGCGTATAAGCTAAAAAATAAGGACCACTTAAAGAGTATTGAGTAACTTCCCTCACAAGCTGAGGAACACTGGATTCAGCCTTATGTGGAATACGGCCCAGGCTCTTTCTGGACCTCGATTTTTCCACCTCTTACCAACTTTCTGCTGAGCTGTGGTCTCGGGTAAACTCTCCATGCTCTTAGTTATTTTTTACTTGTTGCTGAGACAAAATACCTGAAGACCAAGTCGGGAAAGGAAAAATTTATTTCTTACAGGTTTTGGAGGTTTCAGTCCACACTTAGCTGGCTCCAAGGCAGGCGGGCATGGCTGGGCCACAATTCATGTTGTCTGCAAACAGCAAGCAGGAACCAGGCAAAAGAGCAAAACACGCCTTCTTCCTGCCATTACGTCAGATCCTGGCTCCACGCCTAGGCCAGTGTAGCACTCACACCCCTAATCCAAGCACTAGTCAATGAACCAATCACAAATGCACAATGCAAATGCATGAGGCCTGGGGGCCACCAACATACACCATGACAAGGCACAACAGTCTGTCAAGCACAGCTCCAAGGAGACATGGACCAGTCAAGCGCCCCAGAGAATATCCTGCTTAGCTCCACTGGGCTCCAGGTGAGGGTCATGGGTAGGATCGGGTAATTTCCCTGGGCATTCGTCTGAGGTCACATGAGAAAAGCAGAATAGATTGCCTGGAAAAGGGCAGAAAAGGACAGGTGAGATATGAACAGAGAGAAACGAGGTTGGAAAGCCAGATCCTGACCGGAAGTCTGGATAATTACACAGGAAAGGGATGGGGTGCCCCCCAAAGGGTCCAGACAAGGATCTGTGGAATCCTGCCTGTGTTTCTCCACAGCAAAAGATCAAGAGGGACATTAGTTAGAAATTCATTCTAATAAATATTGTAAAATATAAATCCATTAAAACTGGGCTAACAAGAGATAAGGGATTGTTTTAATATATAGGGAGGAGAGAGGCAGCTAGGTGAAACATTGGAGAGGAAGTTACCAGTTTATGCCACAACTCTTCAAAGAAAGGAAAGAGGGCGTGTCTCAGTATTTATTTCAACAGATTGGTGACAAATACAGTCCTTCAGAGAATTTTGAGGTATCTGGCTTTTCCTCACTTTTAACTGAAAAAAGAAGGGTGTTGCTAAAAAAGTAAATAAAAAGAATGAGAGAGAAATACATCTTTTCCTGTCATGGTCACTATGGTTTTCATGTCAGCATTTAAATGGGCAGGGTAAATTGATGTTAAGCAGTGTTTGGGGAACCCAAAGAATATTTCTTTTTCTCTCATTTAACGACAATTAAAAATAGTCTTTGTTAATTTTTAGTGTGGCTTTTTTGTTAATCATGTTGCCTTTAAACCAAAAGAAAGAATAAGAGAGGATTTCACTTTGTTCTACCCTGAGTATCTGGCACCTAGCATAATGCAAGATAAGGCAGGTGCTGAACACACTCATTGAATAAATAAAGGAAGCATCTTCCATCACGGGAGATGTATGTTCAGGTTTATTTCTTTTAAAAAGGGATTTGTCTTCTGTCCATGAAGCTTCCACATTCACTTTGTCTTTCTCTATTCACTTTTGCTCACTGCAGTCATGTAGAGAGAAGCTAAATATTGTATTCCCAGTCTCTTCTGCTGTATGTAGATTGTTAATTAGCTTTTCAAACACATTACAGATAAAACCATTAATCCTCTGACCTTCACTGAATTCAAAAGTTTTTGTGTTAATTGTTTTGAGAGAATAATAGGCAGTCTTGCTGTTAAAAAGGGGGTGGGAGAGTTATTGCATCTCTGTGCAGAAAATAGAACTGGGAAAAACACTTCAAAGAATGTGTGTTTTGAGCTGCCGTCTTTCGTCCTCATAACATGATATCAGAGTCTTGTCTGAACTTTATTTTCTTACAACTATAAAATCAAGCTTTAAAAATGATTTCTATCCAGAAGTTGCAAAGATACTATTCAAATGACTTGAGATAATTATAATTTTGTTTACTAAAGCCAGAAGTGGAAAGGGCCCTAACCTGATGGTCCACCTGTTCTATTTCAAGCATTTTGTTGGAATTATGTTTCCAATACTTCAGAAATACCCTTGAAACTAGACGTGGCCGTTCCTATCAGTCTCCTTTTTCCTTACAATGGTTCAGTTGCTTGGTTGGGTATGGATGCCACACTGGTGAAAATCATTACTCACATTTCACAGAACAGCAAGCAGGTCTCATTCATCTTCTAGAGCAAAAATTCCTATTGCTTATACTAGGAGGAACTGGGACTTGAACTGTGCTCTCTCTGATCCAAAACAAGGGTCAAAGCCTCTGTGATTATCTGTAACCAGGAGACAAACATGCTGCAGCATAATTCTATGGTCAAGGGGGCAAAGCCACAAGGTTGCTCTGAATTTGTGGATATAGATATTAATCATTCTCTTACTCTGAATGATTACCAGTATGGATGACTCCAGCCCATCTAAGCTGATTTTTAAATTATGCCTCTCTAGAGAGTTAGATTTGTCAAGCACAAAAATGTGTCTCTCTCTATGAGACTAAAACTCATGCAGGATCCATGCTGGATTCTGTGCTTCCTGATAATCAAATCACTCATGGTAGCCCACAGAGTATGTGGTCATGAGCTGTGAGACCCATCCTGCTTCTGGGAGCTGGCACCCTGGGCATGGGGTCTAATCCTGCCACTCTGCAAAGCCATGAGAAGATCCCTTGTCATTCCTGCCTCCTGGATTTCCTTGCTGAGCTGAGGCTTGGAATGCTCAGTGCACTTCTTTTGTAGCATGGAGTTGGGCATGGAGAAGGGAGTACTTCGCTCCAGGAGATTCTGGCCTGTTTTTTTTTCTGGCCTGACATACTGGTAAGTCATCCACATTGTAGCTGCCTCCCCGAGAGTCCCAGAGGATGTGCTCCTGCTCCCAGATTCTCTCTGCTTCAGTAGTGACCGGGCCCGGTGCTAAGAGCTCACCCTATGTCTTCCTCACTGCTAGCTCTGGAGCAGAGAGAAAGGAAGCCTGGCAACTTGGGCAGATGATCCTTAATTTGTCTCTCTAAATCCAAGCATTTAGAAATATGACTGGGTTTAGCAACTTCTTGATTAAATAACTTTCTGTCTGCTCTTGCTTTGCGTGCGCGCACACACACACACACACACACACACACACGCACACAGCATGGAACAGCAGCTGAAGACAGATTTGATGATGTGAGCTGAAAGCGATGCTCTAGCCTCTTTCCTACTGAGCTGCTGAGGACAGTGGTGTGAACACCCACCGCTCCACGCCAGCTGGCTGCCACTGCTGCACGCTCCTGCCCATCATGACAAGCCACCTCTGGTGGAAATTGTTACAACATGTCCTTATTAGTGTCTCAGTCCCACTGCCATGTGTGCAGTGCACTGGGTGCATAACTTGACTTGTGAGAGCCAAATATGCAAACATATGGACAAAAATAGCCAGTGTTACAAAGGCAATTTAAGGGCTGAGCCACCTCAGATCATCGTCTCTGGCATCTCTGCTTCCAGCAGGCAGCCAGAAGGGTTACCGGTCTCAGAGGTGGACTACCTCTTGGCTCTGTTGGAAGAAAAGTGCTCCTTTGGTGACTGTGTCCCTCTCCGCAGGGCAAATGCTGGGTTATGAGGAACCGGAGAGGCGGAATGTGCAGTGCCTTCAGCAACTTGGCATTGAAGGCATCACTGGGCCAGGGTTATCCTCTCTGTGACCCTTGCCAACTGTCTTTTTGCATAGGTTGGATACAAGTGCTTTGCCTGTGACATTGTGTATTTAAATGCCAACCTGTGTGGTTTACAGTACAAAAGGGCAAAAATATGTAGGGGAATAAGGAAAAAAATTCTTCTCTCTTTTCATTGGTTGACCTTTTTGGTTCAGCTTAATATAGACATTAAAAGAGCCCCTATGACCATATTTCTGATCTTCAAAACAATTCCAAAAATAACCTCGCATACAATGCTATTTATATTCTCTGCTCCCAGGCTTCATGCATTAGAATATAAAAAAGAATTTGCATTTATGGGTCTGAACCTTGAAAGCCATTCTTATGTCAGATAGCTCAAAGTTAGATCACATTGTGTTGTGTTGCCAGAAAGCATTAAAATCTGAGGAAATATGTAAAAATAGAATACTTTCCAATATAGTGTATTAGGCCAACAGTACTTGAATCTGAAAGGTATATTTAACTTGCTTACTTCAGACAGTGAAAAGTGTAATGTAATAATAATATTATAAAATAGATATTAAGGGAAATGAAAAATTGAGATTGAGGTCCATGGTATGCAAATCTCAATTAGTTATTTGTTTCCATGTATTAACTCTTATTCTCTCCTGATGTTCATTCATTTCATTCATTCATTCGCTTGTCTCTTACTGAGTCCTACGCAGAATGCACTTTTCTAGATGACAAAGTTCTATCATTTGCAGTTCATAGACTTCACCGGCCCATATTACCTTGTGGGTATGATGTTTGGTATGAAGAACCCTGAGGACCAATGGATGAGAGCAGCAAAATCCAAGTTCCACCCAGAAGAAAGCCAAGGGCCTTAGAGAACAGGACCCAGAGAGGGAGGGGAAACTGAATGGGCCAGAGGTGGCAGGGAGGGCCCAGAGCTGAGTTTAGGCCTTGGAGGAGCTCTAGAGTTCAAAGGTTTCAGGCCAAGAGAGGCTGACTTTCAAAGAGTCGATCATTTTATGCAATTGTAAAAATAAAACACTTAGAAGTAGTAATAAAACTATGTTTCATATACTCTTTCGGCTCGAAATATTGTTTAATTTTCCTCTTGCTCTGTCCTCTTTTTAAATGACTCTTGGTCACTGAAGTTTGCGTAAATTTCTTCTCTAAAAAGAAAAGAAAAAAAGCTGGTGCCATCTGGTGGTCACACTTGTGAACTTCATTTCCGAGCCCTGTAAACAGGAAAGCGTTTGGGCTTCAAGGTAAGGAAGCCTTGTACCCAAGCACCTACATGATCACGTCTACTGAGAATGTACGAAGGCATAAGGAACTTAGAAACTTTCCTAAAACGCTGCTATTGTCTTTGGCGCTCTGAGCACCTTTGAGTTTGGTACAAATGGTTATTTTTGTCCGTGTATGCAGGCAGTTCATACAGTAGGTGAAGAAACATTCATATCCAGTTACGGGAAGTGTAATGGGTATCCGTCATCCAGGCACTGCCCGCCTTTCTTAAGTGCACAGCTGGAATCTTCTTCAGCCTAGCAGGTACCATAGCCTGATCCATCTACTGCTTGCTATTGTTGCAGGATAATTTGGCTGACACACTGAGTTCGTTAATATAGTGCTCACCTAATAAACAGACATGGGTTTCTGTGGTAGTAGAGCCCATAC